GTGTGTGTGTGTGTGTGTGTGTGTGTGTGTGTGTGTGTGTGTGTGTGGTGGGAACACTTAAAGTGAGATCTACCCTCACAAATTTTTAAGTGTTTAATAAGGAATTGTTAAGTATAGGCAACATGTTGTACAGCACATCTCTAGAACTGATTCCTCTTGCAGAACTGACACTTTATACCCATTGAGTAGTGACTCCCCATTTGAAACATTCTTTTTTTTTTAGTATTTTTTAAATTTTTAAAAAATTTTTATTTATTTTATTTTTGGCTGTGTTGGATCTTTGTTGCTGTGTACGGGCTTTCTCCAGTTGCAGAGAGCGGGGGCTACTCTTCGTTGCGGTGTGCGGGCTTCTCATTGTGGTGGCTTCTCTTGTTGTGGAGCACGGGCTCTAGGCACTCAGGCTCAGTAGTTGTGGTGCACGGGCTTAGTTGCTCTGCAGCATGTGGGATCTTCCCAGACCAGGGCTTGAACCCGTGTCCCCTGCATTGGCAGGCGGATTCTTAACCACTGCGCCACCAGGGAAGCCCTAAATTTAGTTGTTAAATTTATTTTTTATTGAAGTATAGTTGAATTACAATTTTGTGTTAATTACTGTTGAACAGCAAAGTGACTCAGTTATACATAATATATATTCTTTTTCATATTCTTTTCCATTATGTTTTATCACAAGATACTGAATAGAGTTCCTGTGCTATACAGCAGGACCTTGTTTATCCATTCTATATATACCAGTTTCCATCTGCTAATCCCAAACTCCCAATCCATCCCTCTCCCACCCCCCTCCCCCTTGGCAACCACCAGTCTATTCTCTATGTCCCTGATTCTATTTCTGTTTCATAGATAGGTTCATTTGTGTCATATTTTAGATTCCACATGTAAGTGATTATCATATGGCATTTGTCGTTCTCTTTCTGACTTACTTCACTTGGTATGATAATCTCTAGTTGCATCCGTTGAAACACATTCTTTTTTTTTTTTTTTTTTCGGTACGCGGGCCTCTCACTGTTGTGGCCTCTCCCGTTGCAGAGCACAGGCTCTGGACGTGCAGTCTCAGTGGCCGTGTCTCACGGGCCCAGCTGCTCCGTGGGATGTGGGATCTTCCCGGACCGGGGCACGAACCCATGTCCCGTGCATCGGCAGGCGGACTCTCAACCACTGCACCACCAGGGAAGCCCTGAAACACATTCTTTTTAAAAACACAGGCCTAGCCTAGGATATTGTGGGTTGGGTTCCAGACCACTACAGTAAAGTGAAGATCACAATAAAGTGAGTCACACAATTTTGTTGGTTTCCCGGCGCATATAAAAGTTATGCTTACACTATACTGTAGTCTATTAAGTGTGCAATAGCATTATGTCTAAAAAAATACTTGAAGTAAAATGTACATACCTTAAGTAAAAAATATTTTCTTGCTAAAAAATGCTGACCATCATCTGAGCCATCAGCGAGTCGTAATCATTTTGCTGGTGGAGGGTCTTGCCTCCATGTTGATGGCTGCCAACTGCTCAGGGCGGTGGTTGCTGAAGTGTGGGGTGGCAGTTTCTTAAGAGAAGACTCTTCCTTTCACTTGAATACCTAGAGGTCATTGTAGGGTTATTAACTGGCCTAATTTCGATATGGTTGGGTTGTTGTATTTCAGGGAATAGGGAGGCCCAAAGAGCGGGAGGGAGATGGGGAGTGGCTGAGGGGTGGAGCAGTCAGAACAGACATTTATCCATTAAGTTCACAGTACGGGCATATGGGCGTGGTTCGTGGCACCCCAAAACAACGACAATAGTAACATCAAAGATCACTGATCACAGATCACCGAAACAAATACAGTAACACTGAAAACATCTGAAATATCACAAGAATTACCAAAATGTGACACAGAGACATGAAGTGAGCAAACACTGCTGGAAAAATGGCGCCGATAGACTTGCTTGATGCAGGGTTGCCACAAACCTTCAATTTGTAAACATCGCGATATCTGCAAAGCACAAGAGAGTGAGGCGAAATAAAATGAGGTATGCTTGTACTCAACAACACGTGCTCTTGGTTTTAAGGACTTTAGAAACATATCCAGTGAAAGTGGACGCTGCTGGGAGCCTGCTCCACCCTCCTGGGGTGCCTCTGACAGTGGAGAGGTCTCCTTCTGCGCAGATGTGAATTGCAAGACAGGGTTTGCTTTGACAGGAATGGCATAAGAACCTCTGCGTTGTTCTGCCTCTTCTGGGGACGCTCTCTCCTCCCCTCGGTCCTGTACCGGCTCTTCCTGCTCTCTAGCTGGGAGAGCTCCTCTGGATTCTGGCTCAGGCTCTCTTCTCTTATAAACTCTCTGTCTTCGTAGGGGATTTCATCTCCTCCCATGGCTTCAAATACCCCTAATATGCCACCACCTCCCCTGTTTTGATCTCCAGCCCAGACCCTGTGTATCCAGGTGCTGACTTGTTGCCACACGATGCCTGGAACCCAGTGTGTTCAAATGCACTCATGATCTTCCCCTCGAGAGGGGCCCCTGGGTCTGCTGGGCGAGGAGTCCCCCCCAGACATCTAACCCCACATCCCCATGTGCAGTCCCTCACCAAGCTTGCCAGCCATGCCTACAGATGTCACCACCCCCCTTTCTCTGCAGCCTGTCCTGTTTCCCAGGGAAGTTGTGACTGTCTCCCAGAATTCTCCTAGGCCCTTCCTTGGTCCATTTTCACACGGTAGCCAGAGTGACATGCATTTAGACCTTGCATTCAAAATGCCCATCTGATCATGTCCTTTTCCCTCTTGAGACCCCTCAAACTGTTTCCCACCACTGGCAGGGTCAGATATAAATCACATCAGCCTTCTTGGTCTCCCTGTTGGCTCTGCCTGCATCCCTCCAAGCTCATCGTCCCCCACCGTGGGCACCCTGCCCAGGCCACCCCAGCGTTCTCTGTTCCTCCCTCAGGCTGAGTACATTCTTGCCTCAGAACCTCTGCACAGGCCACTTCTCCTACCAGAAACATTCTTTCCCTCCCTTTCAGCCTGGCCCAGGCCTCCTATGGGGCTCAGCTTAAATTTCTTTTTTTTTTTTTAAGTTGAAGTATAGTTGATTTACAGTACTGTGTTAGTTTCAGGTGTACAGCAAAGTGGTTCAGTTATATATGTATATATTATATTCTTTTTTCAATTCTTTTCTATTATAGTTTATTATAAGATACTGAATATAGTTCCCTGTGCTATACAGTAAATCCTTGTTGTTTACCTGTTTTATATGCAGAAGTATGCATCTGTCAATCCCATCCTCCCAGTTTATTCCTCCCTCCCTTCCTTCCCCTTTGGAAGCCATAAGTTTGTTTTCTACCTCTGTGAGTCTGTTTCTGTTTTGTAAATAAACTCATTTGTATCATATTTTAGATTCTACATATAAGTGATATCATATGGTATTTGTCTTTCTCTGACTTATTTCACTTAGTATGATAATCTCTAGGTCCATTCACATTGCTGCAAATGAAAGAATTTCATTTTTATGGCTGAGTAATATTCCATTGTGTGTGTGTGTTTGTATATATATATATAGATACACCACATCTTCTTTATCCATTCATCTGTTGATAGGCACTTCGGTTGCTTCCATGTCTTGGCTATTGTAATGGTGCTGCTATGAACATTGGGGTACATGTATCTTTTCAAATTAGAGCTTTTGTCCTTTCCAGATATATGCCCAGGAGTGAGATTGCTAGATCATATGGTGACTCTATTTCCAGTTTGTTAAGGAACCTCCGTACTGTTTTCCGTAGTGGCTGCACCAATTTACATTCCCACCAAAAGTGTAGGAGGGTTCCGTTTTCTCCACACCTCCTCCTCAGCTTAAATTTCTGACCTTCAGAAAACTGTCCGTCACCCCCTCGCATCCAGGTTTCCCCATCCCACATTCTCTAGTATCCCGTACTTTTTCTCCATGGCTCTTATCCATTTGTAATCCTATTATTATTCAGTGTTCATTCATTCCTCCCCTTCTTTCCCATCTGCCTGAAACCTCCACAGGGTCAGAGACCCTGTCTGCTTTACTCACCACTTGTTTTCATTAGCACCTGTCTCAAAGCCTGGCAACTCAGTAGATGCTCGAGATACACTTGCCAATTCAACATCAAGGTGTCTTCTCCACTGAAGTGCTGTGGTTAAGAGCTGGTGTGCTAAAGTCGGACGGTCCTGGGTTAGAATTATAGCAGTGCCACTTGTAAGCCGTGTGACTTTGGACAAGTCACTTAAGGCCTCTCTGAGCCTCTGTTTCCTGCCTCATAAGATTAATATGGCAATGAAATGAGAATGTCTATAAAATATTTAATGCAATGGCTGGCATACAGTAATCCTTTAATGAATGACAATGGTTATTATTTAAATAATTTTAATGAAAGCTAAACCACAGGTCCCCAAAGTCTTACCATTGCTGCTTCCTCTCACCTCTTGGGTGAAGCAGGGAGCGAAACCACATTTTCATAACTGCTCAGACGTGGGGTCTTTGGAAGCAAGCTGTGATGACAGCAGTTCCAGCTCTGGAGGTGGACCTTTGTGTCTCCCTCTGCTACTCACTGGCTGTGTCACCAAGGCAAGTGGGTTTCTTTGAACTCAATTTGTCCTCTGTAAAATGTGGCCGCTAAATATTTCATAGGATAGTTATAGGCATTGCATGCGATAATGCACATAAATACCTCGTGCTGAAAAGTTGCTACGTTAAAATTGCAGTCTTGTTACAAACTTGGGATGGCTGAAGATGGCCCTGTGTCTCCTACCGTGCTTCCAAACTGCCACCTTCTTAATCATGGAGGGTCAGGCTTGAATTTGAAAGTTGGTTCTGCCTCCTACTTGCTCCATAGCCTCTCTGAGCATGTTTCCTTCTCTATAGAATGGAGCTAATACCATCTGGTGGCGTATTGTAAGGAGTAAATAAAAGAGTTAGTCTCAAGCAAGGGCTGGAGACTTCCCTGGCGGTCCAGTGGCTAGGACCCTGTGCTTCCACTGCAGGGGGCACAGGTTTGATCCCCGGTCGGGGAGCTAAGATCCCGCAAGGTGCGCGGCGAGGCCAAATAAATAAAAATACATACATACACTCATAAATAAGTAAAGCAAGGGTTGGCAAACAATGGATGGTGGGGCTTGTGGAGTTTTACTGGACCACAGCCTTGCTCATTCACTTACGCATTACCTGTGGCTGCTTTGGTGCCACAGAGACATTTGAGTAGTTGTACAGAAACTATACGGCCCACAAAGCCTAAAGTATTTACTCTCTGGCCCTTCATGGAAAAAGTTTGCCAACACCTGATGTAAAGCCTCTCATTCAGTGCCTGCTTGTGGTAGGCGCTCTGTGAGCACGGTTGCTTTCGCCATCATCATCATCGTCTGGATCATTAATGCAGCAGTCAGGTGGAGCACCGTTCTGGAAAGGTGAGGAAGAGGAGGCCCTGTGGGGAGGGCCTTGCTGGAGCCGCCCAGCACCATGCCATGCACAGAGCAGGTGTCTGGATGTTGGATGTCCTGTGTCAAAAAGACTATTGGTCTGGTGAACTTTCTAATACATCAAGTGATAGTCTCTAAACATTTAAATCTGCCAGGAAAATGTGTCAGAAACCTGTTTTCAGGGCTACCATGAATCTGTAGAGTGCCTTTGTGTGAATTAGAAAATGTATCCCTTCCTTAAGACACTTAATTGTTGTAAATAAATATACTGATTTTGTTAGGGCAAGATGCTTTACTGTTAGGAAGTCATAATAAACATACAAATCTACCATGTATTCTCTGAACAGGACCCCTCCCTCCCTAGGATTGTGCAGTAAACCACCCACACAGCTGTACCTGGCAGCCCTGCCTGTCAGTGGTGAACCAGCGTGCATACTGATTTTTGTATACCTGTTGTCTAAAAGTGAGGCCCACTTTTTATGGACCTCCCCAGGCACAGTTATGACTTTGCCCCTCATCTGTGCTTCCTTGGCCTCCGTGGGCCCAGCAGGCTCTGGTGCTTCCTCACCACCACCTTTGGGATCCCACAGGCAGAGATGGAGTTGGTCCAGCATATTGGTGTCCCCGCCAGTAAGATCATCTACGCCAACCCCTGTAAGCAAATTGCACACATCAAGTATGCTGCCAAGCATGGCGTCCGGCTGCTGAGCTTTGACAACGAGATGGAGCTGGCAAAGGTGGTAAAAAGCCACCCCAGTGCCAAGTAAGCTGAGAAGCACTCATGTGGGAGGCTGGGCTGCGTGTGAGGGCAGAGGGAGTGGGAGGAATGGGGCCGGGGCTGAGGACCCTGCCTTGGACCCGGCCAGAGTCACAGGAGGTTGGGGCAGGCACTCCTGGACTGGACCCAGGATGCAGAGCCTGAGTAGGACAGAGGTAGAAATGATGGATTACAGGCCAGGCAGAGCAAAGCCCACGGTACTACGGAGGTCAAAGTCACGGCAGAGGAAGCAAGAGGGGGTGGTGGTTTCACAGAGGAGGTGGCATTTAAGGAGGGCCTTGAGGGGTGACCAGCATCTGGGGAGGGCATAAACAGGGTGTCAGAGTGAACTGCGTGAGCAAACGCATGGAGGCCAGAAGCAGCATGGGGCATTTGAGGGATAAGCAGAAATTTGATGTGGCTGGAACATACCATGTGCAAGGGGGGAAGGAGAAGTGAATGATGCTTGTCACGGGGCAGGGACCCCAGTGCACGTGGGCTTTGGGAGGGGTCAGGGCTGGACATCTTGCTCAGGCTGTGCCTCTCACCTGGTCACTGGACACCCTGGGGAGCCAGGTGGCGGGCCACTCTAGTTCACCCAAAGCAGCTTCCATTTTGTCTGTTTTACATATTGGGGATATCGGGGTTCTCAATAAGACTGTGTTTAAAAAATGGTCCCCCCGATACAAGAGAAGTTGGAAAAGCCTGGCTGGTGTTAAGGCTGATTCGGAGAAGTGGGGCTGCCCAGAGGAGAACTGGTGAGGTTGGGACCAGGGCAGGGGCCCCAGGGAAGGGCCCAGGGACATTTAGGGAATGGATTGGACAGGACTCAGAGGCTGACTGGCTGTGCAGGGAGAGGAAGGGGTCCAGGGGCTTGTGGGGTTGGGTAGCTCTGAGCCATGAGGGTTCACGCCTCTTGACTTAGAGAAGGCTTGGTCGGGGGCGGGGTGGGGGGGGTGAGGCATGGCGCCCCCTGCAGAGGTGCCGCGTGTCTCCTCAGGATGGTTCTGTGCATTGCCACCGATGACTCCCACTCCCGGAGCCGCCTGAGCCTCAAGTTCGGAGTGTCGCTGAAATCGTGCAGACAACTGCTTGAAGATGCCAAGAGGAACCACGTAGAGGTGGTGGGTGTGAGGTGAGTGCCCAGAAGCCCCGCCATCACCACCCACGCCCACTGCCCACTGCCTGTTTTCCCAGGACTTAATCAACTCTGTGTGAGACCTCCCTCAGGGTCTCCAAGGAGGGCCTGTCCCTGGGCCTAGAATTCTGCCATTTGAGAGCTTCCTCCCTTTGGAAAGAAGTTTTGGAGTGTCCCACTGCCCCAACCCCACAGTCTGCAGAAGGTCCTGTCCCAGGAGGTTCCAGGAGGGACCTGGCTTTGCAGGAGTTTTCCCAGCCTGAGGCCAAAGGTCATCCTGGCACACCTTGGCTGTGCCTCTTTTCTGGTAGGGGATATGGAAGAAGCAAGAACTATGACCTAACAATATAGCTTTCCTTTTTTTGGACTTAGGATGGCCAGACACTCTGCTAAATGCTTCATGGACACTGTCCCATAACTGTGGGATCTTATCCCCACTTTATAGATGGGGAAACTGAAGCACAGCTTGTCAGACTGCTGAGTGAGATGTACATCAGATCTGGCTGAATCTGGGGCCCTAGCCCTCACCCCAGAAGGCTCAGACCCAGGGGCAGCATGGAGGGATGGGGGGGGCGCCAAGTGCCAAGGGACCTTGGATCTAGTCTCCTGTCCACTCCTCACTTGCCACGTGGCCCTTGGCAGCCCATTTAACCTGTTATGCCCACAGTCACTACATCTGGAAAATGGGCACAGCATCCAGTGTGCTCGGCCAAGTTGCTCCTGGCTGGGACTGAGGTGGTGGTACTTGGGCCCCTGTGTGTAAGCCGAGGCTCTTCCTCCCTTCCCAGTTTTCACATTGGCAGTGGCTGTCCTGACCCTCAGGCCTACGCTCGGTCCATCGCAGACGCCCGGCTTGTGTTTGAAATGGGTGCTGAGCTGGGCCACAGGATGCACATCCTGGACCTTGGCGGCGGCTTCCCTGGAGTGGAGGGGGCCAAAGTGAGATTCGAAGAGGTAACCCTGGGATCGCAAGTGTCACACTGGGCTGGGTGGGGGTGGGGATGGGGCAGGGAGGGTTATAATGATCCCAGGAAGCTCACTGTGAGTGGGTCCCATGTGCTACGTGCTGTGCTTAGTGCTTTACCTGGATTATTTTATTATTAACCCTGTGTTACAGCTGAGCAAACTGAGGCTCGCAGACGTTAACTTCACTTCCTGAGTCCATGGAAGAGCTGGCTGCGCACCCAGCTCTGCCTGACTCCGTCCATGCACCTATTTGAGGCTTAACCAGGCCATATTTGCATAAGTCATAAGGCTTTCTGAGGGTCTGGGTGTGCCCTATTCACCCTCCGGCGGACTGATGAGAAGTCAAGTGGGCAGGGGAAGGAAAAGCCAACCTTCTGTCCACTCCTAGTCCGTCTGTCTCCTTCCCATCTGGAAGGTGAAATCAGGAAAAACGTGTCATTGCAATCTCAACTTTAACCACTAGGGATCGCTTTTTCTTAGTAAGTGCCTGGTCCTGGAATATTCACATCTTGGAACTGAATTTAAGAAAATAATACGTGATGGACACTAAGAATTAGCTTCAAAGATGAGCATTGCAGCATTCTTCATAACAGAAGTCCAGTGGACTTCCTTGGTCCCTATAGCACTCATGGATTGGTTAAATTATGGTATATTCTTATGGTGAAAACATTTACACACATGGGGAGGTCATTCAGTTTATTGAGTGAAACAGTTTATAAAAACATATATACTTATGCCCTAACATGTTTATAATAAAAAAATCAGGTTTTTATGTTTGTATAAAAAGGAACTAAAGGAGCTACTCCAAACAGTTAACACTGATTAGGTTAATCTGGGTAATAGAATTAGGGGTGATGTTGACCTTCTTTTTCCTTCTCTGTAGTTTCTATTTAAAAAATGTGTTATTTAGCATATTGGTTATTTAGGAAAGAAAAATCCACGTCAGGGCTTCTGGAATCTGAGTACCAAGTCTTAGATTAAGAGTGTCTTTTCCCATTGTAGGGTCATTGAAGGGTGATTTACACAAGTGTGAAGGTCTTGACCCAACTCTGTCTCTGCCTACCTTCTTGTCCAGCTGTCCGTGGTTACCAGCTGGGGTAACCTGAAATCAAAGAAGCTTTCAAGAAATAGACTTGGAGCTGCAGCAAGTCTTCAGCATAAACCCCACATTTCAAACATGTAATTGTCCCCCATCCTCTCAGATTTCTTCTGTGGTCAACTCAGCCTTGGACCTGTACTTCCCGGAGGGCTGTGGTGTGGACATCCTTGCCAAGCTGGGGCGCTACTATGTGACCTCGGCCTTTACCTTGGCAGTCAGCATCATCGCCAAGAAGGAGGTTCTTCTGGAACAGCCTGGCAGGGAGGGTAGGTACCAGGTGGGCAGCGGAGCCCCATTCTTCCCTAAAGCCAGGGACAGTGGCTGGCTGAGCCGGGTCTGTTTTTAAGGGGTGGGGGAAGCTGGAAAATGGGTCCTTGCTTTAGGGAAGTTTACAATCAAGTATTCTCACCCCAAGACACTCTTTAGCATCTTTTTTTTTCCTATGCATGTTTATATTTTATGAAGATTGAGATCAAAGCAACCTTAGGGAGAATAGATGCTTTATTAACCCTATTGTACAAATGAAGAAATTGAGAACCAGAGAGAATACAAGTGAATTGCTTAATTGCTAGTAAGTGGTAAAGCCTGCATTTCACCCCTTGTTTGTCTTCTCTCCAAAGTACAGGCTCTTACTCACCCTACTGCTTCTCACAACATATTGAAAGTAATTAATGACAACTTATATTTGTCTAAGCCCACTTTATAGACGACAGAATGTAGGCATGGAGAGGTTGAGTCACTAGCCCAAGGTCACACAGCTGATAAGGGGCAGTGCCAGGATTCAAGTCCAGGCTGGGCTGACTCAAGGCTCCTCTGTCCACACTGCCAACATCAGCGCTCTTCCCTGACCTTCCAGATAGATCAGTCGTCCCAGCAGCCTCTTGAGTGAGAGGTCTGACTCTGATCTTGGGGCTTTTTTCTCTGCTCTGGGACCCCCAGGCACGAGAGCCTGAGGTCAGTGTGCTCTTCCTCGGAGAGGGGTGGTGGGCTCCAGGTGGAAGGTCTTCTGTGTGTGTGTGTGTGTACGGATGGAATTCTGGCCTCCTTTACACATCTGGGGGATTATACTTTCTAGTCCAGCCGGGAGACCTGGCTTCTCATTCCAGCTCATGCGCTGCCCCATCGTGTGCCTCTGAGCAGGTGGCTTAACCTCTTGGGGTCTTGAGTTTGGGTGGGCTGCTCTTCTGCCTTTGCTGGGGCATTGAGGGGCTCAGATGCAGTCGGGGAGTGTGTCCTGGGCAGGGTTGCTCAGCTGCAAGGTGTTTCCAACACAGTAGTGAACCTCCTCTCACAGGAGGAGACTGGCCACCTCATAGCTGAGGAAGGGGCAGCCCTCTTGCTTCAGTAGCTTGTCCCCTTGCTGAGCCTGCCACAGTTCCAACCCCTCATGTGCTGCTTGTGCTGCCCCGCCCCCTCCCCTCCCTGCAGAGGAAAACGGTTCCGCCCCCAAGACCATCCTGTACCAACTCAGTGAGGGCGAGTATGGAATCTTCAACTCAGTCCTGTTTGACAACACCTGCCCTACCCCCATCCTGCAGAAGGTGAGCCTACCCCACTGGGCCTGTTTTCAATTGGGTGGGTGCATTTAAATAACATTTGTGTGTGTGTATTGTTATCTAATTAAAAAAAACTAAAACATTCATTGTGGAAAACAGACAATAGGAATAAAGAACGTTATCACCCATAATTCCACCACAGAGACTCTTTGAACATTAGATTTCTTTTCAATCTTTTAAAAAATGTATTATACTTTTTTCCCATAAAGTTGGGATCATATCAATTTGTAACCTGATTTTTTTCCCACTTAATATGGGGTGTAGCTCTTTGCATGCCATTAACCAATCTTTGACAACACGCCTCTTGATGACTACATAATATTTTAGCCAATCTAACTCTAGTGATTGTCCATTTGGTTTCCTGATTTTGAGCTTTGTGTGTCTATCTTGACATCCATCTCTGATCACTGCTCTGGGATAAATTCCTAGAAGTAAAAATTCATCTTTAATGAGTTTTCCATGTTAACGAGGGAATAGGAATAGACAGAACATTCCTTCTAGCCTCTGCAGAATCCAGCCCAGGGCCTCTGGCAGCTTTAGTGGGCCTTGTTAAGAGGGGAAAGGAAATCAGACGCACTTGTAAGATTTTCGCATCTCCAGGCCTTTGTGTGGTCTTGCTTTGGGAAGGAAACTTAAGTGCCTAACTAGTACCTAGACCATCGTGAGCTTTCAATGTGTTTTTGTTTTTCTTTTTGTTTCCATGCTGACTAGTTTTTCCAGAGGCAATCAGATGTTAGCTCCTCTTTGTAGCTCTTCCTGCCCCTCCTCTACGGCTGGCAGAGGGAGCCCCTCTCTCCTCCAGGCGCCCCTACCCCACCCACGACTTGATGGATATTCATTCCATAGCTGCCTTGTCTGAGTAAGCCTTCCCGACGACGACGTGCTCAGGAATTCAGTTTTCTACGGTGATGCACTAGCATTCCCTGCATTCCTGTGGTCTCCCACATCCTACCACACAGAGGAAGCACCAGGCCTAGGCCAGCCAAGCCCCAGGCTACACAGCAGGCAGCAGCTGCTTCCCAGTTACTCTCCCTTCCAGTCGCCCTCCCAGTCCCGGTTCCGCTCCCTTCTTTCTGTTGCAGGCAGTCCCTGGCCCACTCCCCATTCCCTTCATCAGCTCCTCAGACGAGCAGGCAGGGCTGTAGTCCCAGCCCAGCCCCATACCTGCTCCAGGAGCTCTGGCTGACCAGTCTCTAGTTGGTGTTCCTGACTTGGGCACCAGGATGGTACTGACCCTCTCGGTGGTCTGTGCTGCTCCTCCTCTGGTGGGTGCTGAGGTTTCTTCTTCAGGCTGTCAACCGCTTAGGAGTCCTGCCACGTGACCATACCCAGGGTGGGGCGGTGTGGCCGTGGAGACAGACACCGTGTAGGTGACAGCACACATAGTCAGTTAGCTACAGTTGTGCTGGGAGTGTGTCAGAGGGACCCAGCCTGGCCAGGGGTATCTGCACTTTCTTCCCCAAGGACGGTGCCCCTCACTAGCCAGGATGGCAGCTTTGTACCCTGCTCTTCATGCCCAGGCACTTTGTTTTTGGACCTCAGGGAGAAAAACTCATATTAAACATAATCCTTGGTTCAGGGTTTTCTTCTCATCATTGGAATATGCATGGCTCCTTTTTGTTTCTTTTCTTTTCTTTTTTAAAAATTCAACAAATATTTGAGTACCCTCCACATGCAAGGCATTGTGCCGAGGTCTGCAGAAGACAGCAGGTGAGGAATAATTGCCTGTGTCTTTGAAATACAATCCTGCTGGGCAGAAACACGTGTGTGTGTGTGTGTGTGTGTGTGTGTGTGTGTGTGTGTGTGTGTGAGAGAGAGAGAGAGAGAGAGAGAGAGAGAGAGAGAGAGAGAGAGAGAGAG